CGTTATGGCGACAATCACATCGAACGCGTGTCTCCACGCATGGATTTACCAACTCCGCCCCCAAAACTGCATCCACTAAGCGCCCAGCCAACATTTACATGAAATGATCATGCATGGGACAGAGTATACCCACAGGATTCTAAGCTTGATTAGGCAGTTCCAGCAACCCCTAAGAGGGCTGCAACTCCGAGCTGCCAATCCCCGCTCGTTTGATGACAATCATGAGATGGGTGGCAGCCTTCTGAAATGCTCGACCCTGCCATATCTGATGCTACTAACACAATATTGAATGGGTACCTAAAGAGGTGAGTAAAGGAATAGGATTCTCTACTGTGTAATTCCCTCGATTTTCAAAATAAATCACCTGTTAACGCGAAATTTTATAGGATAAGCCATACCCATATGGTCGTGCGAGATGTAGGTTCCCCAAACACTACAATGGCGAGCTGTATCGATATTCCGTACGCAGGGACGCAGGTTCATTTAGGACAGCTTCTAAGCGCCGAATCTGCCTCTTTTACTCTATTTGCGTCTAGCAGATTTTGATACGGTGAACCCTTGCCAGCCGTTCATGTGGGATAGTGTCCTATTGGACACTTCTGTTGGTCGGGATTGCAGTTACGGGATCAGAGTGTTGCATCTATACCGAGACTTATACCCAATAGGTGTTATCATTGGTAGCATCATGGCCTAACCGCCAGCTATGCATGTCTATATTCATCTTGCCCCGTTAGTTTCACTCGCAGAGACATTCGGGCCATTTACTGGTTGTAAGTTATTGTTAGTAACAATTCCTTGTGAAGTTCGCATCCCTTACTAACCCCCAGACCTGGATCGTTCTTGCTGGCTGGGAAAGAGATAAAAGGAAGCACAATTCCCACTGCGATGGAATTTCTCAACAGCCAGAATTCCAAGCCAGCAATACCATCTTATTTCATCATACTTCCCTACGAACAACCTACGGACTGCAACCAAGGACTGGGTTGCTTGACTCCCAAATTTTACACCCGGTCTCCTCGTTTTAAGGCATACATTCGCTTGTCAAACCTCCCACAAACTCTCAGTTGAGCCTCTAAACCTTGTGGCCATCACAACTCTATTGTCTTCCGAACTACTATCCCTTTTCAGTTCACTACAATGAACAATCTCAATATCCAACTTCTAGGCTGGCCCGGGTCGAAGGGAAAAGATGACAAGCTTCACCGCCATGTCGCACTTCTCGTCTTTAATCCAGTCAACGAAAGGGGAGACTTAGTCCACGTGAGGGGTACATCGGGTACCTTTGAAGCAGTTTGTTTGGAAGGATACGATCCTCTTACCAGTAATAATCTTCTTTATCGCAAACATATCTGTCGAGTTTCGAAGCCCCGAGAAGAAGTTCGCAATATCTGCCTATACACTCCTGTTAACAACCGCGAAAATGGATGGAATTGCCAGAACTTTGTGGGTGATATGTTAAATCGATTGGTGGACCATGGGGTGATAACCACGGCGGATAAGGACGCTGCGATCGACCATATGACCGATTTCATACTCCAGGGGGTGGACCAGGATAAGTGCTAGTGAAATATTGCTGAGTTGATTGCTGATAGGTTGCAGAGGAGAGGAGAGGAGAGGAGAGGGGCCTTTTCATGTCGTTTTGATTTCTATTGGTTTGTCTAGTTAGTGGTGTTAAGACTAGTGTACTTACCGTGGAAGCATTTCAAGTTATGGTGTAGCTATCGGCAAACTACCTTCTTCCCCAAAGTTTGCTAGAGAGAGCATCATGTTTCCTACATAGGGCTGGGTTGTGGTACAAAAACAAAAATGTAACTTTTCTTTTGACCAACTCAACTTTAGCTAGTTAGTTCTAGAAGTGAACCAATGAAAATTTATCTATTTTAGTATTGGTTAGTTAAATGTTAAAATTTACCCAATTAAACTTGTAGATAGAAAACTTTTTTGATAAGGTTGCAGCGAATAACATTCCCGCAAAGCTGGTTCGTTACTAATAAATCGAGGATCAACAACGAGATAGAACGAACTTCACGGCATAAAGAAAAGTCGCAAAGGAAAAGAAGAAGATAACGTGTTGGGGTTAATAATAAAGGAACCAATATTCATTGATACGTGTACTCAGATATTCATAAACATGTCAAGCGTAAGTAGTGTGCCACTGCCGTGTGTCTTTCGTGTACATGATATTAATTTTTATATAGCATGGAGTTCTGCGGCAACCTGCAGCAAACCAGAGAACAGAGGCGCAGCGGCAAGCTGAGCTCACAGCTATCACTGAGTACCAAGCACTCGACACACTGGTACTTCAAAAGGTGTTTCTTTTTGCCATGTACTCTCTCTCTTGAGAGAAGTCAAGCTGATTACAGGGAAATAGAAAGCGAAGGGTGAATTCTCAAAGGAAGCATTTGACAAGACCTCCGAACTGCTTCTAAAAAATGCAGAATACTATACCGTATGGAACTACAGACGCATGATATTGCAGTCAATGTTTTCAGAGGACTCCACTCAGGAAGGACAGCCGACCGACCATACTCAGCAGCTTATCCAGCAGGACCTGGGTTTTCTTGTGCCACTGCTACAGAAGAATCCGAAATGTTATTGGATATGGAATCACCGTCTATGGCTTCTACAACAAGCCACTGAACGCCTAAGTTCTGCTGTTTCGCGCAAGTTTTGGGAAACCGAGCTTGGTTTGGTAGGGAAAATGCTTAATAAGGATGGACGGAATTTTCATGGCTGGGGATACCGACGGGCGGTGATCGATGCACTTGAAAATATACCTGATGGACCATCCGAAGCTACGGGGAAGGAAGCCCCAAAATCTATGACCCAGGATGAGCTGGATTATACCATGAAAATGATTGGAACCAACCTATCGAATTTCTCCGCATGGCACAACAGGTCTAGATTGATTCTCAAGGTCTTAGACGAAAGTGCAGCTGATGATGAAAAGAGAAAGAAGACTCTTGATAACGGTTTGCCTCCCTTTTATCTTCCCACTGTATCAAAGTGCATGACGTCTAACAATATACAGAGCTGAGCCTCATTCATCGTGCATTAATCGACCCATATGACCAATCAATTTGGTTCTATCACCAGTACTTAATGTGCGTCTGCGACATAGAACTTTCTCCTCAGACAATGGCGCCGAACCTGACTACCAAAGACCGTCTGCAGTATCTGGAGCAAGAAATTGAAGCTATCGAAGATATACTGGAGGATACTAACGACTGTAAATGGGTATATCAAGCGCTGATCACCTACACTTTACTTGCTGCTAAAATTAACAAACATGTCGATGACGTGCAGCAACAAAGGATATCAACATGGCTCAGCGAATTGATGCGACTGGACCCATTGAGAAAAGGTCGATGGGACGATCTCAAGGAGTCCTTAGCTACGCCAGATGCGTTAATATCAAAGCATTGAGATAGACTTGGTGAAGGAATATGTAATTGAAACCCCTTTGCATATAACGCTGAATTCGCTTTGAACCGAACGTTCTCTGTGGCCGCTTTGCGTATGCAGTCTTTAAGAATTGGCTTCTTTGACCGTGTTATATGCCTCCCGGCTATGGCGATTTGTTGACTGCGGTTGCCGCAGGCTAAATATCTGCTACGAGCCCTTTGTCAGCGGAACTGGGCCTTGAAGACACCAACACTGTGCCGTCCAGGTGGAAGTTCCAAGGGATTTTATGGGCGTTATTGACATGAAATAGAAAGCTACCCATCATATAAAAATGTTCCCCGAGAAAATATGAATAACAGAAAGTCAAGTCCTGCTATGAATGCATCGACCTTGTAGTATCGGAAGCCAAAACTTGCTCACGAGACCCGCCACCTGCAGCCTCCCTTGGAGGGAAGATTCGGAGATCCTGGTCGTTATTGAGTGAAGAGAGGTTGGATAGGTCTCGCTGGCCTTAGGATAGGTGAATCTACAAACAGAGCTCGCCACTCCGCACATTCATGATAGAAGCTGATAGGGACTACCGTTAGCCTCTAACTACTTACCAGATAACGAAGATAGGATGCATTGGAGGCCTATGACAGATCAGATAGCTGGTATATATATTTCATATATCATAACCCCTGGACCATGGTGCCAGGTATCCCGGCTTCCCGGTATACGGGGCATCTGTAGAAATCGGCAGATCCCAAGACGATCCTCCCTGAGAGAATGAACACGGGCATCAATCTGTAACAATTGTCCTTTGGCTGCAGTGACCCCTAGACGACCTGTGAAGAGCCGTCTGTTGCATCTTCACCCGTGTCCCACACAACCGAGTGCCAGATGCGAGTGGTGTCCTTTCGCTAAATTCACCGGCCGCCAGTGAGCCAGTCAAGGATCATTAAGCGTCACCGAAGTAAATTGAGTTGAATGGTGAAACACGCCTGAAGATGCGCTTGACGCAGCCAAGGGGTTTCGACTGGGCCACAGGATCCAACCAGCCCGTCCGCCTGCCCCAGAAGTCGGGGGATCGATCATAAAAAAGAGATAACCTGTGTATCCGAGAGTGCGTAATCACCCCTTGTCCTCGCTGGCAATAGCAAAAATAACTCGGCTGTGACGAGCGAGACGCAGAATATCAGTCAAAATCATCGACCAAGAGGAGAGAGAAAAATTAAGACATCTTATTTCTTATTATTTTTTTTTTGATAGATGTTGGAACGTGACCCCGGGAGATAAGATCATCAGCCTCTTCCCTTTTAGGCAAACATCATCGCCAAATTCAACTCCGACCAAAAAATAAAAAAAATTAGGACAACCGTCAGCCAACCTGGTATTTATTTGATATATTACGCGACCTCGACAACCCTGCCGTATATCGACCCCGAATTTCCTCCACCCATCTTCCGAAGTGTAACGTTACGTGTTGTCCCAACTGGCTAGGGAAAAAGGTGGTTTCAAGTCGGACCGTGGACCCCAAAGACGCTGCAATTCTCCGCTGCAATTCAACCTCCTCCCTCTTGTCTGGGGATTCCATATGACGATAATTATACACTATGGTTGTTAGTCCGGAGAATACTGACTATGAAGCGGTAGGCAATTCCCCTTCTCATCAGTGCTCTCTGAACTTTGCCCTGCAGCAGCAGCCTTGGGACACGGAGGACTCACGTAACTATCATTAGGACACCTTTGAAGACGCCCGAGATACAGCACAAGACAGCGATAACCCAAGCTCCTCCAAGCCTCCTCGGTCTCTAACAGATAGACGGCCTTCCAGCAGCTCTGCAAGGTCTCCTTCCACTCCCATAGCGACTGAAGTTCCTCCGTTACCTGTACCGTCTTCTGAGGTCGAGGAAGATGGACAGAGCTCCGTTATAACCTCACCCGTATCACAAGTGGGAGAGGATACACCTAGGAAACAGAGACGGCCAAAGTCACCGCTGCTGACTACCCATCGGCTGTCATCTTCCTCTCTCGACGACGTTAACCTCTCAAATTCAAAAGAGGACGAGGAGACCAACGGCACGGGATCTCCCCTGTCTCCTGACCAACACTCGGATGCTCCTCCAGCACTTCCGTCTAAAGATTCACCACCTAGCCAAACCCGTCTACAAGGCCTATCAGCTTCAGTCCCCTCTGTTCCTTGGGGTGCGCCGCCCGCCACAAAAGCTCTTCCTCCAGCTCCTCCAAATGCTCCAGCTCCCCCGTCAAGAAAGCTCACCAGTCCGTTTTCCTGGCTTTCTAGAGGAAATACAAAGGATAGCAAGAACTCATCGTCTACGAATGGAGCTAGGAGGAATACAGGAGCCTCTGTGTCTACAATCATGAGCAACTCAGAACGCCTCGGGAGACTCCATGAAGGAAGCGATGGAGAAACCGGAAGTTTGGACTCCCGAGGCCAGGTACGGAATAGTTTGAAAGATCAATTCAAGCTGCTGAGGCTGCAGGATGAAGGTGTTCCTGTTGGAACCGACGACCAGGCTAGCATTGGGTCGGGGGAAGGGAAAGGATCTCGCTCCTCTGTTGGCATCCCAGGGTTAGACGCAGGCGAAGCTGCTACTTCGGCTGCTCCCTTACCGTCTCCAATAGCAACGTCTCCGCTTCCCTCCACAGTCAACCCGGAGCTACCTCCCGGAACGGTATCCGGCTTTTCAGCATCTGCTACAGATGCCTCAGCGCCGGTCGACTGGGAGCTCTGGCAACAAGTTGTGAATAATGGTCCTGAAGCATTAGCCGGGGAAAACTCGGAGAAATTGAATGCTGCGATCAAACGAGGTATACCACAGACAATTCGTGGTGTAATATGGCAGGTACTTGCGGATAGTAGGAATCCTGAGTTAGAGCATGTCTACCGGGAGCTTTGTGCGCGCGGTACAGACAAGGATCCGAGCCGGTCACTCAGCTCGACGTCCATAGTATCTATCAACGGAAATTCTGCCGGAAGCCCGAAGGAAAGGGAGTCCATCTCCTCTTCCCGTTCCTCAATACGCTCTGATAGCTCTACCCAGGCTACCAGCTCCATTCATGGGATTGCTACTGGATCTGCGTCAGAAAAGGACTCTGACTCAGTAGCAAAGGCAAAAGCTGCCCTAGAAGCTGAGCGCAAGAGACGGTCAAAAGAAGATGCAGCTGCCTTGCAAAAGCTGGAGAAGCAAATCCGCCGAGACCTCGGGTCCCGCACAAGCTATTCAAAGTATTTCATGTCCCAACGCAATCAGGAAGGCTTGTTCAATATTTGTAAAGCCTATGCTCTATACGATTCAGGTGTTGGCTATGCTCAAGGGATGAACTTCATTGCTATGCCGCTCCTGTTCAATGTAAGTGAACTTGTTTCAACCCTTGCTACGATTCCAACTAACATTAACCTTATGCAGATGGATGACGGTGAGGCATTCACCCTTATGGTAAAGCTTATGAACAAGTATGGGATGCGAAACATGTTCATTCAGGACATGCCAGGCCTCCATCTCCACCTCTACCAATTTGAGCGTCTGCTAGAAGACCTACAACCTGCACTTGCTTGCCACCTGCATAGACGAGGCGTTTCCCCGGGGCTCTATGCGACGCAGTGGTTCCTCACTCTCTTTGCTTATCGTTTCCCGCTCCAACTTGTTCTTCGCATATACGATCTGATATTCGAAGAGGGCCTTGAAAGCACCATCTTACGATTTGCTGTCGCAATCATGCAACGAAATGTAGAAACACTTCTTGCTATGAATGATATGACCACCTTGACCAACTTTGTCAAGGAAAAACTATTTGACGTATACATCGATCAGCAGCCAACTCCTAGCTCGATTCTTGAATCTGGGTTCTTTGGCAGCTCAGGGGCAAATGATAAGGAAATCTACCGTGCAGATATCATGGTGGACGATGCTTGTGCCATTCCCCTGACACCCGAGATGATAAAGACTTACACAGAAGAGTGGGAACAGAAGACCCGTGCGGAGAAAGAGCTTGCGGATGAGCTAGAGAACTATAAACATACCATCGCTACTCAAGCCAGCCGAATCCGCTCTTTGGAAGAGCATGCAGAAAAGTCAGACAAGGAACATGTTCAGATAGCATCTGAGCTTGTTCGGGTCAAAGTCGAGAACGAAGAACTCAAAGATATGAATGAGAGCATGAAAGTTGAGGTAGTAGAACTCAAGGCCGTGATAGACAAACAGCCTGCAGAGCTTGAAGAGAAACTTCGGACCGAAATGGACCGTATAATGCAGCGAAATATCGAGGTACAAAATGAGAACCGGTCCATGGAGGAGCAAATGGCAGAGATGGAAAAAGATTTGGTCGAGACAAAGATGAAATGGGCAGAGGTACGTATCATCGTATAACTTTCTTTCCACGCGGGTTCCTGCGAGGAAAAAAAGCAAAAGAAGAGAAAAAGAAAAGAAGGAGGGAAAAAGAACAAATTCCCTTGGACCGTTAAGCATTGCGTAGTTAACTGACTTTTTGGTTTTCAAACGTCTAGCTATCGCAAAGCCATGAGGCGCTGCAGCAGAAGCTCGGAGATTTACGCAAGACACTGAATCAATAATAGACTTCAATTGCCGTCTCCGCTCGATTTAACTGAACTTCGGTTTAGCCTTGATACCAAGAGTTCACTGTGTATACCTCGATTCACCATCCATCCCCAGTGTTGGCGATGCAGAGTATAGACATGTATTGTTCCATTATGTCTTTGGAAACACAGCCCAGACTGTATTCTGCTAGCTATCTCTATCTCACTATCCGGATTTCCTCGGGGCATATCTACTTCGAATGTATCTTCCCCCCCCTTTATCTTTGTATGTATATGGGTTGGGTTACCCTTTTTAGCGTGTCCGTTGATCAATTTCTCGCATGGCATAGACTCCGCTGCTCCAGGTTTATCCCCTTGTGTTCCGAGTTGACTTACCGGGATTGACGGCACCGATAGACCTATTTCCCCCCGGTTGCTTATTGTTGAAGACTTAATAGAGGTATTATTGACTACCATCGGCTGTGGCTACTTATTCCAGGCATGCCTTTGCTCATCCGATGTGAGATACTACTTCCACATGAAATAGACTAGGACAATGCTCTCTCACCGATAGTTACTGCACGAGCATGACTTTCTTCAGGTTGTCGTCGGCGGAGAAGCCATGGAGGCGTCTAGGTTTCGGGTTGGTTATCCTAATAATACACTCAGACAGCGACAAGGAACCCCGGGCCAATATTATGTATATTATTTACAGGGCCACACGCTGCAATAATAAAATAGGGGTTAAGACACCCTCACTCCGTATCTCCGAAGGACTACGACGCTGGTCTCTCTGCGCAACGCTGTCCAACCTTCTCTCTCGCTAATTCCCATTTGCTGAGCCAAAGCGAGTGTAGCGTCCGTACTGGCACGGAGAGTCCGGAATCTCCACAGGAAGCATCAGAGCACACTTTAAACATCATCGTATCCGTATGTCTATTTCTAATCATGAATCTGAAGTAACGCTGTACGCTTTATCTATTTTTTTTCTGCACCATACCCGGACATAACTGGACAAATTAACCATAACCCGAAGGGCAAGTGGCCCGATAACTCGAAGAATCAGGTATTCTGTGAGCAAATTCATACTCATAAGGTGACATTAAGAGAGCTAATTAATTGCAGAAAACTGGGAGAGAGTGGAATGGATTATCGGCATCAGACGAAGAGCGAAGGTTGCCTGATCAAAGGTTACCTGATCAAAGGTTACCTCGTAAAGCCTGTTCTCGTTCGAAAGCCTCAAAGAGTGCCTTGAAGTTGCCAGCTCCGAATCCGTCAAAATTGTTCCGTTGAATGACTTCGATGAAAACCGTGGGCCTATCAGCGACATGTTTGGCGAAGATTTGAAGGAGGTATCCGCGTTCATCAAAATCAACTAGGATGTTTTGCTCTTTAAGGGCTTCAATGTCTTCGTTAAGGGTCATGCCGGCCTGCGCTAGGCGGTCGCGTATGGCGTCGTAGTACCCGCTTGGGACGGAGATGAACTTAACCCCCCGTTCACGAAGAGTGGTGATTGCCTTGAGGATATCGTTTGTTAGAAAGGCAATGTGCTGTACTCCAGCCCCATTGTAATAATCGACAAATCTAGAAACAGCGAGTGTAAGCAACAAACTAATAGGCGCATGGAAAGCGACGAGCGTACTCTTCGATCTGAGATTTCTTCATGCCCTCAGCAGGTTCATTAAGGGGCATTTTTATGATCTCATTTGGGGAAGCTATAACAACCGAGCGCATGGCAGAATAATCCGAACACATGGCCTTATCATCCACGCTCCAGTAGCGGTGGAATTCAAGGCACTTTTCATAGCTAGTTTCAACCCACATTAACTACCGATCCGCAGCTACGGCAGGTCAACTAGCAGAGTACGTGGTACTTACAAGCTGACGGTAGGATCAAGCCCATCCCAGGGTTGGTTTCCCACACAGTGATCAATATTTATGAAATCAACCTGTGGAAGGTAACGTTCAATTGGATCGTTCTCATCAACCGGCTGAAATCCGGGCATGAAGCAGCCCTTGTAGTTTCTGCGATTAACGAGTGTGTGGGTTGTATCTCCATATGATCCAATTGTGCAGGTTTGGATCACTCCATTTCCCGCGTCCTTGATAGTAGTCGGTTGATGCACAGCTTGACCCCCTGCAGCAATTGCCTTGTCGAAAATGGGTTTGACATCTGCGCTGACTCGGAATGCAATATCCTTGACCCCGTCTCCGTGCTTCAAGAGGTGATCCTGTATTTCCTGGAGTTGTTGCTTTTCCTCCGAGGTCGTTTTGTAATCCAGCTTGTTGCAAGGGAAAGAAATTATTGGTGAAATGAAGACAAATATCACGTCTCCGTTTTTTATAACATGGCCAGCAATGTGATTTGAGCCATTCTCTGGCCCTTTGTAGGCAATTGATTTGAAGCCCCAACGAGTGATATAATAAGATGCGGCCTGTTTGGCGTTGCCAACATACCAAAGAATATGGTCGAAACCCAGATACTCCGGTCCCAGCTGGCTAGGGACAATATCTTCTTGAGGAGGGATAAAAGTCATAGTAATGGAGTTTTGTATCTTCTGATGAAGTGTCGTCAAGAAGGTTGGAGAAAAAGAATAAATGGTTGGTATCAGTTCAGGTCTGTGTTGTGTGTGTATGAAGTCAGTCTATATAAGGTATAACGGAGTTATTTGATGGAGAGATCGAAATTGCCACCTCCTTGCATATAAACAAATGCCAAGCCCACACCTAGTGTCGATGATCCTTTTTTTTTTTCATTTGCACGTCAATAATACCGTCGGCTGAAGAGATCCGTATTATAGTTAGTGTCAAGGACTGCGTTCTAGCTAACACGCACACTAAAAGCATCAGTACATTGGTGTGGCTAGGACAGGGATTGCAGGCTAGTTAGGACAGGGGGCTATAGTTGTTCCATGATTCTGTCATACCTTGAAAAAAGCACATGAAAACTGAAAATCTTTTTAGTTTCTTATTTTTTTTTTTTCTTTTCTTTTCCTGCTAGCCATAACTAACGTTTGAAGCATGATGCTTATACACCTCAACTCTAACATGCCAATGGCAAAAGGCTGACTCCGTGTGTAACGAATGTATCCAGGCGACGGGAACTGAGATCAGCCCTAGCATGATTCAGTTTCGGCTGATTTTCACTAGCCATTGGTAATCTTGCAGTTAACGACGGGGAGCATATATAACCTCTGTGGCCGAGCTTGAGTAACTGCACTCGTTTATGTGACTCTGCTTCTATACATTCAAGGTAATGACCACTTATGCAGGCGGGGTCCCGAATAATTTCTGCTCCATATTGGTGATCGCGTAAGAGGAGTGAAAAGTGCGTACGAAGCGCAGGAATTAAAGGGAAACGGCTGGTTCTGCATGCAAGATTTCAAAGTGAAAAGATAGCTAGTCAGCCATGACTGTTGAAAATGTCAATGACTGCTCATTTACCTTCGTCTGTCCACCCTGTGTGGGGTATACTGTTTGTGTAAATCCTCCACACGCGACATTCAGGTCAATTTTCTGCGCTATAATTGATACCAACTACAAACCGTGTCGGAACGGCTGGAATTCAAAACCCCTCATTGGTGATAGGCTCAGGTCGAGAGGAGAACATTATCTTGTATTTTATGATCTCCACGATCTCTAGCTGATCCGGGGTGGGTAGGATATAGCCATCCTGCGCCACAGATTGTGAACTCATAGCATCGCGACCTGTCGATTTTCGCCTTTGGATGACCGCTATAGGCTTCGGTAGTTTTTTAACTTCGCCTGTTAGACGTTGATGTTGTCCAACAGTAAGATACACACGCTTCATCCAACCTCTGTCAGATGGGTCGGCAGCTGGGTCGTAGTCTGCGAATATGATCCGGCCAATCGGTGTCTCGACTTTGCATGTATGCTGTGAGACATCAGGTATAGTATCTTGCATCGCGTGGTCATCGCTCTCTGGGAGATTAATGGTCCCCTGGAGCTCTAGAATGGCTAAACCGGATGGCGTCTGGAGGAGCTGGGGCAGCGGGTTGGTGACCGTCTCTGTCGAGCACCCATTCCTATTGCTAGATAGAGATATATGGAGTGGAACTGTGGGCATGTCGCTTATGAATATCAAATAGCTCTCCACTTCTTGCTGGAGTTTATATTTACCCTGGAGTTGATACCGTGGAGGAGGTTGTTTTTGTGTCGGCGGTGGTAGAAAATATTCCACCGTTTGGCTAACTAGTTAGTTCGCGAGGTTAACTAGTTAACTCTTACACACAGTCATGTGATCGTCTCCTGACGGGAGCCCTCCCATCAATATCTAGATCTTATTCAATTCTATGCCATGTTCTACACAGTAGAGCATCAGAGAGTATTCTGCTGAAATGGTTACATCTGAATAATAAGCTAGGCTTTTAAAAGATAGGTTGCTTGCTATACTAATTAGGCTAAGGAAATGGTGTCGGCCCCAGGGTTTATTGAACTGCAAAGAAAGGCAGGAAAAGAGCTACGAAGAAAAGAAAAGAGAGAAAGAAGGGCAGTTTAAGGTATATTCTCTTTGGAGAGCTCCATGAGCCTTCACAGCTCTCCTACAATTTCTGTATTGACTCGGAGGGTTCCTAAAAAAGTGAAGCTAAATGTAACTCCTTATCAATACTATGAAAATTCAGCCTGTACCAGTAGACCTATCATTCAATCAAATCCCCTTTGGTAGCTATATCAGGTGAATCAGTTAAACTGGCTGTAGCTATCTTAGCTTATCAAACGCTAACTAGGGACCCAATATACATATTGACATGAAGAAGTTACCACTACACATATGTGAAGATAACGCATCCTAAGCAAAGAGGTAAGCTCTATCTACAAGGGAAAGAATGGCACAAGCTCTGAAGATAGAATGAAACTAACAGTTGTGATAGAAACACCCTTACCCTAGGCTATCTAGCTATATTAACCACCCCCAGCAATCCAGCTTAAGAAGAGAGGAACAACTGGCTATAACACCTTACTATATTACCTTAGAGATGTCCCATACTACTTCGAAGACATGGGTTTCAGAAGAGACCAGAGAGTATGAGGCCTGGATCAGAGTCCGTGACAGTATGTCATATGTCGCGCCGAGATCACCATTTGTGCCAACAACATTCAAAGAATGGCTGGTCCTTAGGCTTTTGAAAAAGATGGAGGATAAGCACAAGATAGCCCAGTCACTTGCTATCAAGCAGCAAAAACTCAGCAAGACAGCCACGAAGACGGACAAACTGTTCAGAGGAAGGAGGTTAAGGGACCGGCTCGGTCTGGTACTGGCAGCCGAAACAATATGGGGGCCCTTATCTGATCCAGGCAGTGGACGCCAGAACGCGTATTGGCCTTCCCGCGATGAGTTCAAACACGAAGGCGATGACAGGTGCCGATCTGGATACTCCAGATTCCCACCTTTGCCGAGAGTTCTAGCGAACGAGACTGTGAATTGGAAGCAGCGAAAACCAATTGCGCAATATGAATTTGACAAAGTTGGAAAGGTGAAGACGAAGGACGACAACCACGCGACCGAGATCAGCATTGCAATCGCCGTTAGATATATTGGCAAATCATTCATCCGCGACTTAGATTTTGGAAAGATCTGATCGGTTTGAATAGGATCGCGTCCATGTCTGCCTAGAACGACAGCACTCATATCAATATCAACGTGGCATAGCGTTACTGCATCTGTCTTCTAGATTTTTCAAGCCCAGGATAACATCATCCCTTAGAGCATTGCCTGCCCCTGTTGCGTTCAGTTTTCCATACCGGAGATCACTTAATTCCCCCACGGTGGCTGCAATTTGACTAGCGAGCTCTGACGTTTCAGAATCAAGGGACTGTATATTGGATTGCATGGCACCGCAGGCCCTTTCCATGTCAACCAAAAGCGTCTTTAGAGTGTGGCGATCTTCGGGCCTGGTTACAAGCCCGTCCTGCTGGCCAAATAGTTGGATATCCATATCAGCCTCAGTTTTATCGCCGCGGGACATATTGGTCACTCCTGAGTCTAGCTGAGCATTCCTCAGTTCTTCCTTCTGTTTCTCTCCGTTTTTGATTTCTCTTTGAATGTTTCCTTGGACCAAATCGATATCCTGGGCACGAAGGTATTGCAAGTCACGATACAGCGTCCTAATCTGCGGGTGAGATTGTAACCGTCTCGGAAACAGCTTCGTAAACTGTTCAAGTGATAGAACCGTGGGTAAAGGAGAAGGAGATAACAAAAAGTTTGTGAGAATGGACTCCTCGGACGGTGCCATGGTATAAATTGAATGTATGGATGATTGCGTTGGGTATTGATCGCACTTCCTCCCCAAGGAACGGAGTCTACCAGGGCTTGAATGGATTTAGGCCTATTTCGTATCTAAACGAGAGTCCATCTTTGCGTTCTCTAAGTTGCTAATTTGAATTAATTCGTGGCGTTCTTTTTATTATTTCAAAAGACTTTCTTTTTGATATGTAACTTGCTGAAGTCACAAACCTTGGTCGTCGCGTCGCGATTTCCACGTGACTGGCGTAGTTACAGCCTAGAACCTATCTTTATGCAGCGAAGAAAGCATGAATACGGTAATATTTCGAATACTTAACACATGCGTAATTTTCACCTATTTCGTCTCTTCGCAACACCGGTGAAAGGGACACAATCAGTGATACCAAACACCCCTGGACGCAGCAAATATATACCTCTTTCTGCAAAGCATTAGCGGGCAAGTGCTTTTGTCATAGGTATACCCCGTACAACTTCTCTTGTCCCTATCCGTTTTCAAACTGTTCTGGACCTGGAGCTAACTGGGTTTTTAGGACATTCATCCGTCCAACCCAAGGCCATAAGGGTATCAAAAGAAAGGCCGCTGTGGTGATAGAGCTGTCAATCTGTTCCTAGTTCAAAGTGCAATTTGCTTCTACCGAGCTAGAGCTTGTTTTTGCACTCTGTCAAGTTTGTTTAGTAGCTCCTCAGACCGTTATAGTTTGAGCGCGAATTCTACTTGGCCTGATTTTTCATCATAGTCTCAGTATCAGACTGGCTTCTCAAAAGTTCGTCAAGAACGTATCACTACATTGATTTTGCGACTTGAGTTGATTTGCAGCTCGGTTACTTTACACTATTCGCAAAAATGCCTCTCAACCATCCGATATACCATAAGGATGAGACTGTCCTATGCTTTCACCATGATATCCTCTACGAAGCAAAGATAATAGCATTGCGGCTTAGTGATCCAGAAGATCGAAAGAGCCCTTACGAATATCGTGTTCATTACAAGGGCTGGAAACATACGTATGTTACCCTTATCCTCCCTGCCAGCACGCACTATGAAGTTCATTCAATAGATTCAACGACAAGGGAAATCTTCAAATGTTCATTCTACCTTGTTGGACAGGAATATTAGAATTCTCAATTTAAATTTGGAGATGATGAGCTGGGGGTATTAGCTGACAACTTTTTTTTTCATTACAAACAGATGGGATGACTGGGTTTTCCAAGATCGACTTCGAAAAGCTACAGAAGACAACAAAGAGCTCGCCGCTACGTTGAGACGGGAGG